ACAATAAACTTGGCATTCTTGTACCAAGGATGACCTGTGTCCTCGTCTCTTTGCTTGTCTCTGTCTCTGTGTGTTTCAATCTCCAGCCCCTTGTCCAGAGACTCGCGAACCGTAACAGTAGCGCTAACTGTCCTGTAGTGCAGGTACCGCACTACAGGAGCAGAACTTTACAATCAACAAACCAAAACAATGAAGAAAAAAAGAGTATATGTAACTTAAGCATACATAAACTTTTAAACTTGAGTGATAGATTGACAGCGTATTAACTTGATTATGATGTAAATGTAAATACCATACATTTATAAGCTATACAATAAACATAAAATAACAAAATTGAAAAGACCCATAACCTATTGTTTATTTGTATATTTAAAATACAAACACAAATGCATGTGTTCATCTCAAAACACATCTGACTTAGTTCCTCTGTTCAAATGCATGTCTTAGCCTTATTGGGATTTCTCTTCCCACTCTTTTATCTTCTTAGGTTCACCCAAGTACAGTTGTCCCTAGAAGGGAGTCACGGCTAGGGCCTCACTGAGCACACTGCTCCGTCACCACTGCAAGCAGCAGAGGTTCAGGGTGATCACCAGGAGATTACCTGGTGGAGCCGTGTGGTTTTGACTTTCTGCCTGTCACCTGGGTGATCCCGAACCAGAGGCTTCTGGGACATGCAGCTCTTATGGCCAGGATCTAGACAGACTTCAAGAAGAAAGAATTTCCTCCCCACTCTGTACCACTCGGGCTCCATCACAGTGTCTTCAGAGCCAATGTTCTGCCTGTTGGACAGTGACTTTCAAGGTCAAAACAATGACAGGGCCACCATGGGGTAATGCATGCCCATAATATCACTGCTGGGGAAGCTGAGGCAAAATGATTGAGTCTGAGGCCTGCCTCTGCACCCCAAGGAAGACAGGGCTTGGGGAAGTGGCTCAATGGCAGAGTGCTTCTCTAGAGTGTGTGAGGCTCTGGGCTCCACTTCCAGAACAGCAGCCCACACACAGATACACACACACACACATATACAAATACACACACCAGCAGGTAAGGCGGGTCAGTTCATAAAGTGTTTGCCATGCAGGCATAAAGACCCTAGTTTGAGCCTCAGCATTCACATATAGAACCAGCCTTGGTAGTATGTGCTCATAATCGCAGCCCTGGAGTGCAGAGACTGAGGATCCCTGGGGCTTGCTGGCCAGTCAGTCTAGCTGAACCTGCAAGTCCCAGGTCCCAACGAGAGAGTTCATCTCAAAAATCCAGATAGAGGTTCCTGAGGAACGAGACTCAAGGCTGACCCGTGGCCTCCACATGCAATAGTGCATGTGCACGCATATGCGTGGGCAGGTGCATGTATGCATGCACACACACATGTTGTAGGAGGCCGCTTGTTCATTCCAGGCTGCCCAGACCTGAAATAACCACATAGAAACTGTATTAATTACATCACTGATTGTAGTGAGCCGGACAGGATCGCCATTACAAGATGGCGCCGACATCCTGTCTTGTTGGAAACAAACAACTCCATATTTGGCTATGCCTTTGAGAGCTGCGGTCCCCCGCTTCCTGCATGCGCGGTGGATGAGGATCCTTGAGCCTATCCCGATGCGGTCTGGTGTCAGCTGTTGGTGGCAGCCAATCACAGGGCGACCCATGTGCCAATTCCCTATTTAAGCGGCTGCCTAAGTGCCCCCTGACCCCTTTGCTTCATGTTGTCTCTCCCCTTAGCTCCCTGCCCCTTCGCTTCATGCTCTCCCTGCCCTTCCCTTCTTGCCCCTTGTTTTCTTGCCCCCCTCTCGTTTCATGCTCCCCATCAATCAAGGGTACTCCAGTAAAGCGTGTTCTGAGTAGAATCCTGATGTGGTGGTCATTCTTCGTCGCCGGTCAAGAAGTCCGCCACAACTGATTGGCTTATTAGCTCTAGCTTCTTATTGGCTAGCTTTTACATATCAATTTAACTCATTTCTATTATTTTATATTTTACCATGAGGCTCATGGTATACCAGCAAGTTTCCAACTCATCAGTTCCCAGCAGTGACACCTCCTCCCTGGCTCTGCCTCCTTTCTCTCAGCATTTAGTTTAGTCCCCCACCCCGAACCCGCTCACCTCTATTCTGCCCTAAGCAGGCCCAAGACAGATTTTTTATTCATTAACTAATAAAAGCAACACATATACCAAAGGACTTCCCACACCACACACACACACGCACACACACACACACACACACACACACACACACACACACGAAGCTCAGTGACTTTTTCTTCCGTGTCCATTGTGGGTGTAGCCTGAGACCTCATCCTAAGATGGTTAAAGCCTTAATAAGAATGCCTGGCTCTCCAGGAAGCCTGGGGTTTTCCAGGAGAGTTGGGTAGGAAAATATCTGATGACCTTCATCATTTCTTAAATCAGGAATCCTGAGGCAAACTGTAAAAGCCATGAAGGGCTCAAGTCCCACATCTGCCCATGGCCACCTGCTGGCCCCCTGAGTCCCCAGCAGAGGAAACCTCAGCTGACCAGTAACCACGAGCAAGCTGTGTTAGATGAGAATAGGGAATGTGGTCCCCTCAGCTAAGCACCTTTTAGTAGGTGGCACGAATATGTGTTTGTGTGATAGCAGCACTGCCCATGGATACCTCTCTCACTGTGTCCCCTGGATGAGTCCTTTGTGTTATACTGGGCACCATCAGAGCCGCACCTGGAAGATGAGGAACCAAGTCTTCCTTGCCATTGGTCATCACCACTCAGGGATGCACGTGGATTCCAATATTCAACAAACACATGCTTTAAGAATGTACTTTAAAGATTTGTTGTGAGATCTCCTGAGTAAATTGGGAACATGGGAACCTTAGGAGAGCAGAGAAGGGGAGGGAAGAGGCAGGGAGGGGAGCAGAGAAAAATGTAGAGCTCAACAAAAATCAATAAAATAAATAAATAAATAAATAAGATTTGTTGTGTGTGGATTCATGTGTGGGCAGCTGTACACCTTTGTGTGAAGTTGCCAGAAGAGGGGGTTGGATCCTTCAGAAGTCACAAGCACTTATGAGATGTCCAGCTTAGATAGCGATGGACTCCAAACTCTGTCCCTCATAATTACTGCTGAGCCATCTCTTCAGTCCCATAAATATCTGTTCTCTTAGTTATTTTTCTACTGCTGTGGTGAGACCATGACCAAGGCACTGTATGGAAGAATTTATGTGGGGATTTACAGCTTCAGAGGGTTAGAGTCCTTGGCTGCCACCATTCAGAGCAGGGCAGCAGGCAGGTAGGGGTGGAGCCCGAGCAGTCGCCGAGAGCTTAAATTTGATCCACCAGCACGAGGCAGAGAGAGCTACCTGGGAATGATGTGGATTTTTGAAACTTCAAAGCCCACCCTCAATGACACCTTCCCACACACAACAAAACCACACCTTCCCAGATAGTTCCGCGCATCATGTTATGGGACCATTCTCATTCAAACCAGCACATTTGTTAAGTGGTTAAAAGAAAGAGAGAAGAACGGAGGAGACAGCAAAGGAAAGAAGGGACAGGGGATAAAGAATGAGCTGACAGGCTTGGAAAGATACCTGCTCCCTGCTCCTGTAGGGTGTTTGGCCTTCGGGGAGATAGTTTTGAGAGACAGGCCTGGGAAAGAGGCGTAGGAGGTACTGGGTTGGGTCTCCAGACTAAGGCAACATTTCATGATGGCAGATGGGGAGGGTCCACAGGTCTGCAAATATGGCTGATACTAAGGTGAGGACACAGAAGTGTACTGATGTCTCCAGTGAAAAAACTATCTCCCCCGCCTCCCAAACACACACATCCCCTTCAACTGACTTGGAGGCTCCAGGTTGCTTCCTCAGGAGCCTGGTGACATCCCCTCCGGCTTCAGTAACTCAGAGGACACAGTTCACTTTGTTTTACTCTGAGAAGAAAAAAAGGTTATGATAATGGGAAGATAGGTTGGAGGCAGGGGCGTTACCCCGTCCCTGAACTGATGGGGAAGGGAAACAGCCTTGAATGGCCTCACCCCTCAAAATACGCAGGACATTTACAAACCCCATAGACAGGATTGGGTCACATCACAGACTTACGTGCTGGCAGAAGAGTCTAGGAAGCAACAGAGCAGGTGCTGTGGTCTGAGAACCCAAAGGCGATACTCCGGCCACCCGCCTCATCTGCTCAAAGGTATGCCTGCGGCAGGACCCTTGAAGCCTGCACATCACCAGGCTGGGCGGTGGGACTTGAAGTCCTTCAGCATCAGAAGTCTTTGGAACCTGGTGTAGGGTGCCCAGGCTTCGGCCCAATTTCCTCCCTTCCTCTCCCACCTCTGGCCTCCCAAGCCGGGCTGCACTCACTCAGAAGAAAGCCATCTGGAGCCCAAAAGAACAAAGGACTGTGAACCTGCAGTCTGTTTACCCGGCTCCCCCCACCCCTCCCGATTTAGCCTCTGGCTCTTTTTCTTCTTCTTTGCCCTACCCACCATTTCTGATTATCCAAATCACCTGCCTCCCCAAATGTGTGCCTCCCACCCAAACCCTCCCCCGACTTGAAGACTCTAATCTCAACTCTGCCTCCAAATTCCTGGACCACACCAGATCTGTCAAAGTTCTATTAGCGCTCAGGAACTGCGGGCTGCCTCCTGGGCCCTGAGTCTGGGACTAGATTCGGAAACCAGACCTGTCACTCACAGTGATAGAGGGGATTCTTCTCTGCCAGGTGCGTTCAGGAAGCAAAAGGAAGCCCCAGGTTCGGGAACTGGGGCAAAGACTCCAAGGTAGTGGTGGGGTCATAGGGGAACCCGCCCCGCTTCACGCGGTTCGCTGTCCCTCCATCCTCTCAAGGTGCAGCCACCCCCCCCCCCCCCCCCCCCCCCCCCGGCAGTCCTCGAGGAGGGAACGCAGACTTCAGCCAGCCGGTGCTCCAGCTCCTCCCCTATGCGCCACAGTCAAGAGCAGGGCACCTACCCGGCTGTGAGGGATCCCGACAGACGGGCGCGAGGGTGTGGAGAAAGCACGGAGACATGACCTGGCTACTCCTGGCGCTCTGGGCGTCCCTGGGGTCAGTGGAGCTTGCCCAAGACTGGGCGACTAGGGAGTCAGGTAAGGAACGGACAGGGCTGAGGGGGATGGAATGGGAGTGGGGTCCAGCCTGCTCTGCTCACCCACCAACGCACATTCTTGACCACAGCCAGAAACCTGAGCTGCTTCCAGTGCTTCAAGGTCCACGAGCCCCGCATGTGTAGGCCCAGGATGTGCCAACCAGAGGAAAAAGTCTGCCTGAGCAACGAGGTGTTAATTTACTCAAGTGAGTCCTTCCTCAGGCCTGGAAGGCTCCAGAGCCAGTGGCAAGACTGGGTCTGCAGCCCCAATGCCTCCTTTAGGTGCTGACCTATACTGGAAGGTGTGGTCTGGAATTTGCCCGTTCCTTTGTTCCTTTTTCTCTCCCAGTTGCGTATCTGTTCGTGTGTCACTCTTTCAAGAACTCACCCTGGGACAAAGGCTCTGATGCCTTGAATTCCCAAATGAACAAGTGTGCAAAAACAGAGTTCGTCAGCCAGGGACAGATTTGCCAAGGCCGCCTACTCTCATAGGGGCATCATGGGGTCGTGAAAGCAGTGGGACCTTAGGTAAGATCAGTCTTAGAGAAGATGAAGGAACAAGAGCCAACACATTACTTTTCCATCACCATGAGAAGGCAAAAATATGAAAATGTCCAGAAACCAGAAATGAGCTCACCGTGGTGGTAGTAGCTGCACCGACCTCGATCTAGTTCCCTGGGACCATGCAGAAGCCTCAGAGCTGCCTCCTCTCTTGAGGTGAAAGTCTTGAGCCTGGCTGGCTGCAGAGTAATTCATGAAGTTTAAGCATCTCCAGGTTCCTGGCTTCCTGAGAATAATGGCTTGCGCTGGCCTAAAACAAGCCCTGAAGGAGTTGTACAGCGTGTGCCTGGGTGGGGGGAAGGGTGATAAACTGTCCTTTGCTGTAGTATCCTCAGGCACTGAAACTGCCCCGGGCTGCCTCTTCCTACTGTGTTTCCTCCTTTGTAGTTAAATCCAGTGAAAGTCATTGGTCCCAAGTGGGGTTTTCCCAAGAAGGGCCGCAGGTTCCCCAAGGCAGGGTCCCTGTTCTTATCAGCAGCAGCCCTGCCCTGCAGTCTCTTTCTCTCCTTACAGCTCAGGGATTTGTGTAGTGACAATTTGGAAGCTGAGGAACTACTTCCACACCTTTCTCCAACTTTCTCTTCCCGTCTTGAATCCTCGCCTGGGTGCCCCACCCCCCAGCTTTTTGTTCCATTGCTCTTGAGCCAAAAGGTAACCACTGACGTTCTGTGCAGGGCGTGGGCTCAGAGGACTCCCTTTTGGGTGCTACCTGTCCTGAGAAGACCTGATGTGCCCACTAGGGAGGACTGTTCAGGGCCAAGGCTTCCAAGAAGGCCACAGACTCCACGCTCTCTGCTAGAGAATCCTTGGTCATCCTAAATTCTGTGCCACCGATGTACTCTTTGGCGACCAGTTCTTTTCGACTTTGCACCCTTTACTCCGCCTCCTGGGCCACCTAGGGCTGCTGAAGAGAGCCCCCACCTCTTTGCTGTACCCCAGGTTGGTGGTGACTCTGGGTAGCAGAGCTCCTATCACTGTGTGGGCAGTGTCTGAGAAAGGACAACAGAAGGTGGCCCAGCAGGGCCAGACCCAGCCATCCACTTTAGAAGCTTCCCCCCACTCTGTCTAGCCTTGGGGTTCTAGAACCACATGCGGTCTCTTTTCTTCTGCAGGAACAAGGAGCAGAACACAGATCAGCAAGGCCTGCGCTACCACATGCCCCAACTCCAACAGTGTGTATGAGTGGGAAGTGAACAAAGGAATTCAGGCCAGGATCACCAGAGTATGCTGCTCAGGGAATCTCTGCAATAGAGCACCTGGCGCTGTGTTCAGGACCCTGCCAGGGAGGATCCTGCTGCCACTGGGTCTGGGCCTCTTCTGCACCCTGTTGTGAGGAATACCCTGTGACACCTCTGCCACCCCTTGTAGTACCTCCTGTCTTCCACCTCAAGTGGCTATTGTAATGGGTTAATAAAACATACTGCGGATCCCCGAGTGGCTGTAGGCAGCAAGCAGCAGATCCCCTGAGCAGCCAGTCCCAGGCAGGGATGGTGTGTGAGATTACAAGGAGGGACAGATAGATAGGCATGTCACAAGACCAAGCTGCAGGTTTCCAAAGATGGCTGGTCCTGGGCAGGGAGTCATGCAGGCAGGAGAGAGATAGAAACTTGGATAGGCACACCATACAGAATGAGGATGGACATTTATTTAGTGGGTTATGGAGGGGAAAGGAAGAAGGGGAGATGAGCAGAAAGGCAGAGAGAGACAGAGACAGAGAGGAGAAGGGAAGAGAGAGAGAGAAGGGAGAAACAAAAGCTGCCTCTTTGAGAGGGAGACAGAAAAGGAAAGAACTCAGGCTGCAAGCAGGAAAAAAATCTGCCTGCCTCAGCAGACAGGGGTGGGAATGGGCATGGCTTGTCTCTTAAAGAGACAGAACAGACCATTACAGTCCCATCTCTTTTATAATAAAAAGGTGGGAGGTTAGGCACCACAGGTTAAAGAAATTAGGGTGGTGGATTCTGTCTCCCCCACTCTCTGCCTCTCTACTCTTCTCCCTTTTTCCCTTCCCCCTCCATAACCTACTAAATAAATATCCAATCTCACTCTGTCTGGTGTGCCTATCCATCTCTCACCCGCCCCTGGGGACCAGCCTTCAGAGACCTGCAGCATGCGCCTCATGGTTCCCTGCTCAGGACCATGGTTCCCTACCCAGGACCAGCTGCCTTTGGAGACCTGTGGCATGGGAACTGCACCGTCCCTGCCTGGGACTGGCTGCTCTGGGGCCCACTGCCTGCCCCCACTCTGGGACCTGTAATGTGGTCTCATGGCCTTCTGCCCGCTGCAGCCACTCAGGATCCACAACATTTTACTTTTACCATTAGAGCTATCCCATCTCCATCCATTCCAGGACTTGTAAGGTGATGCTCAGACCCTCAGTTGGAAGGGAGGACACCAAACCCTTTCTCTATACCCAGAAGCCTGCTCCTAGCTGACATCTTGGCTCAGAGAAGTGGAAAGCCCTGCTGCTCCTCATAGAGACGGACAAATGAATATTTCCAAAGCAGAGCACTGGCTTCTTTGAGAAAGCTCCTGACCCTTGGCACACTGTCCAAGCTCTGTGAGTGGCAGAACAGACCTGGTGAAGCCAGGGGTTCAGCCACATCTGCCCCTGGTCCACCTTCCCTCATAGCAGCTTACTTGACTGATGGAGTCCAGGCTGAGAAACACTATGGGACTCTGTTCATGCATTGGGACTGCTGTGTCTCACTCCTCAGAGACAGTAACCTCTCAGTGCCCCACAGCTCACCTCTTCCTTGTCCCATCGCCCCAGAGACCTGTTCCACTTCCAGCTCTCAGCACAGACTGCTATGGATAGAGCAGGCAAGATCTGGATGGATACACCCAGTCAAGAATCAGCCACACCGAACATGGAACTGGCCTCAAAGCGTGTGGCCCAGCATAGGGTGGGCACACAATCCAAGCTCAGACCTGGGGTCCTAAGAGAGCACACTGGCCACTCTATGAGGAGGGGATGGGGACAGAGTCAGGAGTGCCACAAGGACAGCAGAGAATGCCAGGGTGGTCTCAGAACATGTCTGGTTGGAGCTTCACCATAGGAAGTGAGGTCTGATGGACATGATTTGGCAGCTGGCCTTGGAAGGGTTCCTGGGTAAGGCCACAGGCAAGGAGCACAGGGAGGGACTAGGAGACTGATGGGCAGCTTAAGGCCAGCCAGGCTGAGTGGGTTCTACAGGGCTTTAAGAGGCTGTCTAAGAGAACAAGGAGGCTGCTGTGACAGGTGTATTACCCTCATCTTGCTATGACCACATTGCTTTGGCTCACGGTTCCAGTCCAACGTGATGGAGAAGGCATGGGCGGAATGCCACTCCTGGCCGTGGAAGTGTGTGATGAGGCTGTTGACATCATGCTTCACTAGAAAACTGAGTGTAAAGTTGGAACCAGGGTCCAGGTGTGACCTCCAAAAGTCCACCCCTACCACCTGCTTCTTCCAACTAGACCCCCTTTCCTGAAGGTTCCATGGCCTCCCAGAATAGTGCCACCAGCTGGCGAACGAGGTTTGAAACTGACCCTGAAGGGGATGTTTCAGATTCAGACCCTAACAGCAAGTGAGCCGGGGGGTGGGGGTGGTACCTTGCCCCCACATCCCCACATCTGCCCACCCTGGTCTTCACACACCTGCCTCCCTCACCCTGCTCTTCATGCTCCTCCACCCAACTCTTAGGTGGCAGGGAGGATACCATACCCTCTACCCGGGACCCTACAGCCTCTTCCTAACCGACACCTTGCCCAGTGACTGACATGGCCTCCAGCCCCTTGGTGGGTCTGGATTACCCTGAGTCTGGTATCTCTCTTCCCAGGATCCCTGACTAAAGCAAGACCTTCTCTTGCTTCTAGGATTTTTTTTAAGCCACCATGGATTTTCACACTGAGTTTTAACCCCACTTGCTCCCCACACTGGCCAAGCAGTGAGCCATGTCTACTGCTTAGCGGCCCAGAGTAGCAATCCTGGAGGTGTTAGGGCTTTGGGAGCCTCTGGGTCTCCAGACCTGGGACATCCTGGCTTATGCTAAGGCAACAGGTACTGAGAGAACCATCTTTCCATGACAGGGTAGTCTGGGTGGCTCCTTGGAGCCAAATTCTCCCATAAAAATTGTGTGTAAGTACCACCTGGGTACTGTGCTGGTGATGCCCGTGTTCGAGGGTGACAAGGCCTTTCTCAGCCCAGATGTCCTTGACCCAAGCACCAAGGTGCCAGACAATCAACAGTCCCCGAAAGTCAAACGGAGACAGATGCTTTTGAATCCATCCCCTCACAGCTATAACAATGGAGGATGTGGACACACCAGTGAGCAAAGAGAAAGCAGACATCTCCAAGGAAAGAGCAGGCAAAACTCACTCCCACCCTGGGAGAGGAACCAAAGAAGACACTGTGAGGTGCCTTGTTTGGGGGCTTTTCTTAAGAGTTATAGTTAGGACTACTAGCAAAGATTAGGATTTTATGGAGAGGTTTATCATGCAGACATGGCATAGGTCAATGGCAGGGCTCGTGGGCTCTGTGCATGCCTCCCTGGTCCAGCCTGGAGATAATTTTCATACTGCTTGCCCAACTGGGTGTGTACACACAGAAAATCCCCCTTCTATCCTACCTTAGCCGCACTCACTTTGACTCTTGTGTCAGCCATGCCAAGCTTGACAGACGTTGCCAATCACAGAACTTGCGGGTAATGCTGGTCCCCGACATTGGCTTTTGTTTGCTGATCATTGACAAAACTATTATCTCTTTGCTCCCATGTTTACAAGACCAGATTGTAGTTTCACCATAGGCCTTTTTTCCTTTACTGCCTATAGACAGCTAACTCCTTATCTCTGGGTGAATCTCGGCCACTAGGGAAGCTTTCCCACCCAACCTCTGTATCAGTTACTCTATACCTTTAGAGTTGGGGCCTAAGTTCCTCTTTTGGAACCTGGGCTTCAATCTTTCGGGAGGTATCTTTTAAGCTGGAAACCAGAAACTTACAGAATAAGTGAATTTTTCAGTTAACGATGGGTCTATGTGTAGATGGCTCAGTCTGTAAAGTACTTTCTCTATATGCAGGAGGACCTAAGTCTGATCCTCAGAGCCACGAAAAATGCTGGCCATGGCGGCATGTGTGTATAATCCCAGCACAGAGACAGGCGGATGCTGGGGCTCGATGGCCAGGCAGTCTTGCCTAGCAGTGAGCTCCAGGCAAACGAGAATCCATCTCAAAAGAAATGGATGGTATTTCTGAACACAACATCTGAAGTCTCTGGCCTCCATAGGCATACATTCTCATGTGCACACACGCACATGCACACACACACACACACATAGACACACAGACACACACAAAAGTTAGGGAAGAAAGATGATGATGAGCAATAACTAGAATAATCCTGAGATTAAGGAATTCTTGGTGGCAAACACATGCTAATTGAGAACTAGGCTGGTCACTCAAAAGTGATCACAGAAGGTATAGTCACAGGCTTGTGAACTATCTCCCCTACAACTGCTCTCCCAAGTACTACTGGCCTACCACAATCTCATCACTGTCCCAGTCTCTCTTAGACCCTAGACATTTTCCTGTTACCTGAACCAGAACCGTGTGGCTTTCATGGGCTGCAGTCCAGCCTGGCTATGAGCACCCAACATGGCACGGCAGGACTATGCAGACATTCAGGCAGGTAGCTCCTTCCCTTAGCTGGACATGCAGAGGCCTGAAGAACAGGCAGCTGGGCCGGCCACCTAGGCAGTGGGATTGAAGGTGTGTGCCACCACTGCCTGGCCTCTATGGCTAACTAGTGGCTTAGCTCTGCACTCTGATCTTCAGGCAAGCTTTATTTGTTAGATCACAAGCAAATTATCACTACAAGGCTGTATCTGTTTTTTTCATTACTGACTTCCAGTAATTAATTCCCAGTAATTTCCAGTAAGGCTTGGGGGTGGTAAAAGTGTCATCGAGGAGGAGAGGAGGAGACTAGCGAAGAGAGACGGAATCTGGACATTTTGAATGAAAGCAGTGAACTGAAAGCTAAAGCCAAGATTTCTTTTCACGCCTGTGCACAGTGAGGGCCTGAGGGACCCACCTGACCAGTTTGTTCTGTTGAACTTGAACTTGATGAAACAAACCGTCCTCAGGATCCTCAATACTTGGCCGCACCCCTTCCAGGCTGGGCGGGGTACCCTGCTGACTCCAGTCACTCACGGCTTGGGTGGAATTAGGGGCCACAACTCAGGGGGAAGCCACGATGGGGTCTGTTATGAGGAGGGCCCAGTGCTGGTCCCAGGTGCTGTGTGACCCAGCTGTCCCTCCTGCCAGGCCCCAGGGGGTGCAGTTAAAGAACTAAGAGAGC